AAAAAAAAAAAAAAAAAAAAAAACTTATAGGCTACAAACGTCCAACAAAAACGTTCCATAAATAATGACGTTTTGAGAACGGTAGGCTACTAAAGACAAGATAACATTGAACGAACGTTCTATTAACGTTAGGCTACTGGAAGTTTGTTCACAACTTTGCCAGAACGTCAGCCAAATCTCTAGCTGGGACGGTATTTCCCATGGTAGGTAAATGTCGAAGAACATGATATTGTGTGCCTCTAGTTAACCCTGACGCAAACCTTCGCCTTAAAGAAAGCTTCTTGTATTATTGTTATTATTTTGCTATTATTATTAAATGTTTCTTCACCAGCTATGTCCTGTTCTGCGAAGGAAACACAGAGAGATGGATGCAGGCAAACCTGTGTCACTGCTGAGGCTGCGCGCGTGTTCATGTCCCAAAATGCGCGTGGAACTCCGTGTGGTCGCTCGCGCTACGTGGACGCACAGAGCAAATCTCGCTGCCATCATTTTTCCCCCCAGGTCAAATGCGTCCCAAAACTTCACCGAGTAGCGCTTTAACAACTCCAAAACTTCTGAGCGCTGCGGTGGTTTTAACCCCCGGACCGTTACACGCGCATATGCGGTCATTCACCTGACAGGTCAAAGTCAAGCGTCCAATCACAGTGTGTTCAGCTGAGGCGTGCATGCGTGCGTGTATCAGGGGGAAAAGAGACCCGCAAATTATAGTGAGATACCGGTCATCACGTGTACAAAAATACCTCTTAATTAACACCATTTCCTGTTTGGAGAGCCACGAAAGATACACGCACAACCGAAAAGGCCAGCTAAAGAAAACCGGAGCGTTTATGGAACTAAATGAACACTTTGTTCTATAGATTAATTATTTTGTTATGTAACGTTTCAAAGAACCTACATACAGATTTTGTCAGACTCTAGGGGACATTTGAGCTATTTGTCCTAAAAGTGAAGTTAGGTCGAAGGACAAACACACATGAATCGATGGTTGGCAGAGAGACAGAACAATAAATGTTAATCTTTGGAGGAGAACAAACACAAGCAAAACGGACTACTTTTGATCACTTCAAACAGACGATTCCAATCTCATTAACTGATCACTGATAGTAGGAAATGGTGTTTACTTCGGCCTTGATCACTGATAATGTGAGTCAGACAACAGAGGAAGGGTATTAAAATGATTAAGATGGTATTATAAAAAGAATTTAGCATAAAATTATGTGATAAACATGAAATTCAATCCAACTGACAGATTTTCCTTCAGTAAACTTAAAGGGATGAATGATTATGATGTTGCTAAAAAGAACATTATTTTGTGTATTTGGTGTAATGAAATGTGTTTATGCGGTTTAAGGTTAAAAAAAAAACACATTATTTTCTACATACTGTACATTATTGTTGTAAACAGTCCTCCATAAAATGTGCTGCACACATCTGAATATTTGGGTTGAACTGTTCAGGAACAGTGTTGTAAATACAACTTAACCACTGATTTCTAGTCGTGTCCTCTTTTGGAAGACCAAACAAAGTAGTTTAGCTTTCACAACGAAACAAAGCGTCACACGCGGCAGCGGCCTAGAGTGAGCGGAGGCCGGCAGCTAGAGTGAGGAATGGCTGGCGGGCTGAGTGAGAGGAGGCCGGTGAGCTTGAGAACGGCTGGGGGCGTGTTAGAACGAGCCGTTTTAGGTAGGCGTGGTTGACTCTTAAGTTTTATAAAGAATATCTCTTTGGATTTGAGACTTTAGTCTTTGCAACTTTACAGATCTTCTTTATGCACCAAGAGCTTGTAACACTTCAAAGAGAAAAGAAAATTTTAAATCGCATCATATTACCCCTTTAAACCCACCATCAGGGACGTGATGGAATCATTCACCACTAGAGGGCGCGGTGATCAAAACATTTAATACAGCATATTATTCACACAACAAACCAATGCATTTACAAGCGGCACAACATTTACAGTAGGCTACAGCAGTCTAAAATGCACTTTATTGGTCAATCAATTAATCTAATAGAACTTCAACGAATTACATTTTTTGGTTTAGGGTTTTTGTGATAGAGGTTACATTTTAAACAATATCAAGAATGATTTCGGTGTAAATTCCAGAAACAACAGGAAAAGTCTGAAAGATTCGCCTCAACCTGCCTCCACATGAAGCTTACGTCAACAGATCCCCAGTGACGTAACACTGGAATGACAAGTTGAATAGAAGGTTTGCCGGGAACGCTTTACAATGAGGCTTAAGAGTGTGTGTGTGTGTGTGTGTGTGTGTGTGTGTTGTGACAAATCTGTTTTTTGCTTTGTCATTATGGTGGATGGAGTGTACATTGATGTGGGAAAAAACTGAAGGGGTACGATTACTTTCACAAATATATATATATACTGTATATCTCTTAAGCCAGTTATTTCTATCTTTTGCAGTAGTGTGTCAGTAGGAAATATCAGTTTACATTTCCAAACATTCCTTTTGCCAATAATTGTAATAATCAAGTGAGATCTTTGAAAGCACAATGATGACCTCACCTAGTTTGTCTAAGATTACATGAAGAAACAGAAAAAACGGAGACAGGCTAAATCCAGAAGAACTGTGGCAATGTCTCCAAGAAACCTGAAGAAACCTATACCTGCAAAGCTACCTGAAAAACTATGTGCAAGTGTACCTAGGACAAAAGCTGTTTTAAACGCAAAGGGTGGGGTCACACCAAATGTTGATGTAGGTTTCTTGGAGCATCTTGGAGACATGGCCATTTTTGATTCTGTCTGCCTCACTTTTTTCTGTTTCTTCATGTAATCCCAGACGGACTGGATGGTTGATGTAGGTTTCTTGGAGCATCTTGGAGACATGGCCATTTTTGATTCTGTCTGCCTCACTTTTTTCTGTTTCTTCATGTAATCCCAGACGGACTGGATGATGGTGAGATCAGACCTCTGTGTGCAGCACTGGCTGCTGTCAGACTCCTTGTGCAAACAAAAATCTCACTGGATTATTACAATTAATGGCAAAAGGAAAAAAGTAAACTCCCAAAATGTACACAACTTAAAAACAAAATCACATAATATATGACAATGTTGTTGCAGAATAAGAATATGTGAATAACTCAATTTTGATATATATATATATATGTATGTATGTATGTATATATATACTCCTGGGCCAAGCCCCCAAAAAAAGTTTCTTTTAATGGTGCAAATTCTAACCACAAATCACTGGTCAGGAAAGAATTGCACAAAGTAGCCTAACTTGGTACAGGATAGCCTTTCTGTTTGTTTTCTCTAAATGTTTAAGCAGAGTGGGTAAATTTACAGACAGCTTTTTACAGAAAGAACAGTCAATGTTGTTCCACTCAATACTGATGACTTCAGACAGTTCATGAGTACACATGAACCCAAATGCTCAAAATAATTAATTGGTTTGAGCAGGGCAAACTTAAATTAGTTCACTCAATTAACTTTACTTTTTTGAGTATTTAGAACTTTTGAGTTCATTAAACTGACAGATTTAAAGTAATTTCATGGTGAAGAGTGGAGCTTGGTTTGACAACAGATATATGGTCAATGCTTTGTGTCGTTTTACTAATTCAGCGATCAACTGAATTAGTAATGAAGATTAATGATAAATTGAAGTTAAATGTATGAGAAATATTTCAGGTTACGAGCAGTCATGGTTAATGTGAATACTCTTTATTGGGGTTAAAACTGGACTCTGACCAGGCCAAACATGAGCCTGATGAACTTGTTCTCAAGCCATGTCTTTGCAGTGTGGGCAGGCGGCAGGGAGCACTGTCTTGTTGAGGGGGAAAAAACATCTAATTGTTCCTTTTGATAACTTTTCAGTTGTGGGAAGCAGGCCATTCTGCAATATTCTCTTATACTCCAAAGCATCGATTGACTTTTCACAGTGAAGCAGCTTACCAGTACCTGAAAAGACGCCTCACATCACGACACTTCTCACTCCTCACACATCTTCCTCCATCCTTCACTGTGGTAGAGATGCATTCATTATAGTGTTTCTCATCAGATCTGCAAAGACACCACTCTGAAGCAACGGCATGCAATTCATGTTTTACCATGATTCATCACTCCACATCACTCTGCTGAACTTCCCATATTCTGCCAACATCTTCATTCTGTCTTTGATGTTTTTTTCTGAGATAATGGCTTTTTAAGGAGTGCATTTGCTTATTCTTGCAAATTTCCTAATTTCTCAGTCATTTGTGGTTAAGACCATTAAAAGCGTTTTTCTACTTTAATATACATTCGATTTTAATTTATTTCTGTGCTGCAAAGCTGAATTTTCAGCATCATTACTCCAGTCTTCAGTGTCACATGATCCTTCAGAAATCACTCTAATATGCTGATTTATTATCAATGCTGGAAACTGTTGTGCTGTTTAAATTTTTTTTTTTGAACCTGTGATATTTTTTCAGGATTCTTTGATGAATAAAAAGTTAAGAGCATTTATTTAAAATAGAAATCTTTTCTAACAATATACCCTACCTTTCAAAAGTTTGGGGTCAGTAAATTGTCTTTTATTTACTTTTTTGAAAGAAATTAAAACTTATTCAGCAAGGATGTGTTAAATTGTTAAGACGTGATAGCAAAGCTTTATATTGTTAGAAAAGATTTATATTTTGAATAAATGCTGTTCTTTTACTAAATAAAATGTTAGTAAAGTGTACAACACCTTAACAGTTACCTAGCAGACCTCAGAGGACCATTAGCGGTATCTTGTATCTTCATTCGGTTGAAGGGCAGTTAGCGGTGAAAATGGTTACCATAGTTACCAATCTACCTTTTACTGAATTTATTTTCTGAGAAGGCAACACTGAAAGTCTGGTCAACTGCCAGCTCATCCGTCATTTGCTCTAACACGGTTAAAAAAAAATACCTGAATAACATTACAACCCTGATAGCACATGTACATCACTAAGATGTCGATTTGACGTCTGCATGATGTATTTTCTTAGTGTTTGCTCATCTGCAATAAATCTATAGGACGTTTCCTATCAGATGTCAAATAGACGTTACAAAAAATGTCTTTGTAAAACTGTATATAAAAACGTATGTAAAACTGACATCTTAAAGACGTTACCTTGCTGTTGCTCTTCCTTGCGGTTTGAAAAAAAATGTTAGTAAAGTGTACAAAACCTTAACAGCCTAGCAGACCTCAGAGGACCATTAGCGGTATATTGTATCTTCATTCAGTTGAACGGCAGTTACTAGCGGTGAAAATGGTTACCATAGTTACCAATAAACCGCAGAAATAATGCCGTTCATCTGTATTAAATCATTATTTTGACAATGAAATTAATATACTGTATACAAATACAATACTTACAGTAAAACCCCTTTGAGAACCTGCACCATTTAACCAGGACTTCATGGAAAATACAAAAAAATTACAACCATATAACGAGCATATTTCATAATTATATATATAAATGCACATATTTAAAAAAATATATATAAAACATACAAGTAACAAAAAGAAAGACAAAGAATGCATTTCATTATAAAACTTTATTGAAGGATTGTTTGTCCTGGATCAGGATGGAATGATATGAAAAAGATGTGAGAGTTCGTCTCCGTGGAAATAAGGAGGGCAATAAAACCAGACAATTTAAGA